TCTTTTATTTTCGCTATATTTGATCTTTCGTGTTAGACGAAAGATTTAGCAACTCACCATGTGATTCGGCTAAGTAGCATACATACACGAATCTGAGTTGTGACCATTAGTTTAGGTCAACGAAAAGAAGTGAAGAACAAGAGAAGACCGAGAGAATAACACAGACCGAAAGATAGAAGGGTCTAGCTCTCGCGTAAACTTCGAATGATAAGGAAATTGTTTTTTGATCAGCAACAACAACGAAAGATAAAGGAAATCTTTTGTGTAACTTCCTCAAGACCATTAAGTCTAAGTTAGACTTGAATAGACACATTAAATGCACAAACAAATAGAATGTTGTCTATGTCTCACAGTTGGGCAATTATCCTAGATAAAAGAAGTCCTTGGTATTAATAAAATACTTGTTAAATAAATATATAACATTATTTTATATTATAACTTTGTTATTTAATTAAAAAAAATATTGTACAAAAAAATATAATAGACAATGTAGTGAATACAATCAATTGATGAATTTGAATTTAAAGAATTTTTACATTGGATACAAATAAAGACAATATAATTAATACAATTATTTCTCTTAATTAATTTATTGATAATGAATAATTATTTTTTAACAAAGACATTGAAGGGACAATGTAGCGAATATAATTAATTGATGAATTTGAATGTAAAGAATTTTTATATTGGAGAAAAATAAAGACAATATAACTAATGAAATTAATTCTCTTATTTAATTTATTGATAATGAATAATTTTTTTTTGAATAAAGACATTGTAGACACATAATTCTAAATTAAAGAAATGCATATGTATTATTTTGACTTAAAAAGTAGAGTTAATTCCATTCTTTGTCATTCTTACAAAAGGCTGAACCCCAACCCTAAGGGCCCCCCACACCTCGGCCCGACAGAGCATTTGGGAAAATGTAAATCATGGTGACTCAACTGAACATGAACCACAGAGGCTAGACCGGTGCTCACTGCGCACAAGGAGATCCCTTACTTTGAAAGGTAATTCCATTGTTTAGTCCACTTTTAGTCATTTTTTTATTAAAACATCCCCATTTAGTCCTAGTATTATTGTGTCATGACCATTTTTCATTATCGTTTAACAAAATCGTTGAAATTAAATGTTGTTAAATATAAAGACATTTCAATATTCAGTATACAACGTAGGTTGAACCGTTATATATATTTTTTTTTTGTTTATTTTGTTGAAAAAAAATTCTATAATTGAAGATCGAAATGCCTTTGTATTTCACAATATTTAAACTGTTTTGTCGATAAAGGACAAAAAATAATTATGCCACAATAATACTAGGACCAAAAGTGGATGTTCTAATAAAAAATAAAAAATAAAAAAAAAAAACTTAAAGTGGATTGTCACTATAAATCTAGGGCCAACAATGAAATTAACCCTTATTTATTTTTTTTTCTTCACTTTATTACTGGTATTTTCTTAGCTTCCTTTAATCGTTTTATAAACATTTAGCTATAGAATTATTTTATTTCATTAAGAATTATTGACATGAATTTACACTGAAGCAATGAAGAAAAGTAATATATATTACATACAAGAAATGATTATTAGTTCAAAACGTATTTGTTTTGTGTTTTGAGGGTAGCTAATAATAAATTTTTAAATTTACGATTCATTATATAATTGTTAATTTTAACATAAACTTGAGGTGAGAAACTAAAATAACCACTGAATAAACAATTCAGAAACTAATTGAGGACATATGTATAATTAGGGGTTAAGTTTACCATTATATAGCATAATTGAGAGACTAAAATTGTCAATTGCTCAATTATGTATATGTAACTTTATCTCTATTCAAATACATGTACATCGTAATGAACAAAAATCCATAAAATTGTACAAAATAAGTGTTTAGTACAAACGAAGAAATTTCGAACAAAAGGGTCGGAACTCGCTAATAGGAAAGAAGAGAAAAACAATATAGAATATAAGATTTTGGAAAAATACCACACTTATATCATTCCCCCCCCCCCCCCCCCTCCTAATTATTTTTGTAAGCACATTAGCCCGTCAATTAATCAATAAGTGGCGGTTTCCCCCCTCCTGATATATTAAATTGACATTTCAACCCTTAAAGAACATATTTAATTATTTTTCTTCTCCAACAAATTATTGCATATACGTAGGAATGACCACAATCAGTAGGAATGACCACGATCGATTCGAACTAAACCGGACACTATTGCCATAGAATTAAAAGTTTCCGATTATGATTCAGATCTAGAACCCAATATTTGGATTTCAGTTTATTAAAATTATAAATAAAAAAAACTAGATCCTGAACCGTGAACCGACAGTTCCGGATTCGATTTGCGATTTTGAACCGTCAATATTTTAAAATTTTAGATTTTATATTTTAAAATAGCCTAAATTCAACAATAAATGTATTTTATTTTTTTTCAGTTCGAAACATGAATCGACCGTTCCGGTTCGCGATTATAATAATCTCTAAATATCGGGTTTCGATTCTAAATTATAATTGGAATATTTTGGTTTGGTTGCTACAGTGTCTATTTGGTTTGAACCAAATTGTGGATTGGATAAGAAAAATAAATGAAATATTTATTTTAAGGGTAAATATGTCGATTTAACATTTCAGATGGAAAAACAGCCACTTGAATAATTCAGGGGGAAAAGTGCTATAAGTATATATAACTCAGGAGAAAAAGTGCCAATTTTCCTAAGATTTTAATAGACTCTATAAAATAGTTTATATGTGATTAAGATTATCAATCTGTATTTTGGTGAGGTCGAATTGAAGAGTTATTCTAAGTAATACAAGTTTGGTGTTTTGAAATGATGAGAAGAGGGAGTCACCACAACTTTGTCGACATGTGAAACAATCATTAGGGGTTCTGATCTACCTTTAATTTGGTGTTTACAACCTAAGTTGGAATTCATACATGAAATATATATAATGGCTTTTAGAAAGGTGTTTTTGCTTTCCTTCTTTTGAAACATTATATTGTTGTACATTGTGCTTATCATCTCATTTTAATTACGAACAAATAAGAATCTTTTTTTTCACATTGCAGATAACATATACTGTTCTAAAATTACCCCCTTCTTTTTAGTGTATATATTACAATTTGCATGCAGTGTATGTGAAAAGCAAATTTCATATATGCAACATCGTTACAATACTCTCCCGTTAAGTAGTACACTAGGGGTAGGCGTTTTGAGATTTGATTCGATTTTTTTCGGTTTCAGTATTTCAATTTTAAAAAAATGATATCATTCAGTTTAACATTAATTCGGTTCGGTTTAAGAACCCCAATTTTTTAACATTTCTTATTTTTCCAAACATAGTACCAAACAATACATATTCACATAGTTAAAATCCAAACTCTAAACATTATATAACAAAATAGCAATCAAAAGTTTAAACACACTGCACGGTATAATTTGCCGTTCATAACTAACCAAATCTAATTAATTAAGAAGACCAATAAGATGCTCATATTGATAATCAAATTAAATTGAAACCTTATAATTATTAAACTAACAGTAGGATTAATTTAATTGTGGTGATTGCCCCGTAAAACAAGAGGCTAACAACCTCACGGCTCTCTTTTCTCTCTTTGCTGACTTTGGGAGTTTGGGACCAAAACATCGCTGTCATTAAATGGAATCATTATCTTAAGAGCCACAAAATTTTAATCTTTCATTATCCATCGTTAATTGCATTATATTCCTTTCTAGGTAAAGGATACAAAACAACTTTTAACATTGCTTGCTGTTGCTTTTTGCTGCAAACAGCACAACATATCGGATTGCTATGGAATAACTTTGAAATTTAGGACAAAAACCTCAAAATCAAAGATAGCTATGGAATACAAAAACTCTACAAAAGTCATTTAAAATCCATCACTTTAAAAGTATTTAAAAGTCTTGACTGAATACACCCCCATTAGTTGAATAAAGACATTGTAGATACATAATTCTAAATTAAAGAAATGCATATGTATTATTTTGACTTAAAAAGTAGAGTTAATTCCATTCTTTGTCATTCTTCCACAAGGCTGAACCCCAACCCTAAGGGCCCCCACACCCCGGCCCGACAGAGCATTTGGGAAAATGTAAATCATGGTGACTCAACTGAACATGAACCACAGAGGCTAGACCGGTGCTCACTGCGCACAAGGAGCCCCCCTTACTTTGAAAGGTAATTCCATTGTTTGTCATAGATTTATAGGTTGCAGTCCACTTTTAGTCATTTTTTTTATTAAAACATCCCCATTTAGTCCTAGTATTATTGTGTCATGACCATTTTTCGTTATCGTTTAACAAAATCGTTGAAATTAAATGTTGTTAAATATAAAGACATTTCAATCTTCATTATACAACGTAGGTTGAACCGTTATATATGTATTTTTTGTTTATTTTGTTGAAAAAAAATTCTATAATTGAAGATCGAAATGCCTTTGTATTTCACAATATTTAAACTGTTTTGTCGATAAAGGACAAAAAATGATTATGCCACAATAATACAAGGACCAAAAGTGGATGTTCTAATAAATAAATAAAAAAAAAAACTTAAAGTGGATTGTCACCTATAAATCTAGGGCCAAAAAACTTAAAGTTGTACGTTAGTATCTAACGGTGTCCAAACCACTTGATTATCATCCTTTACAAGGATTCAAGCCACGGTAAATGAAATTGGCTTAATTTACGTATATCAATCTTTAAAAAAAAAAATGGATGTATATCAACATAATTTTTAGACACGTTAATTTTATTGAATTTATTTTTAAAAAATATTTTAAGAAATTATTCGTATTATGTATGGTATATAACCGAGTGCATATTATACCGCGATTTGAATTGTAAAACTAAACCTCAAATGAACCTTACAAATTCGAAGTAATTGAAATCATAAAAATTAACCCAAATACAAATTTGAAGACATTGAAATCACTAAAATTAAACAAATTACAAATCTGAAAACACGAAAATCATTAAAAATTAAGACATTACAACTAACCGATTCCATTGAAAGCAAATACATTTATTCATTACCATCTATCACACCTTTGATTTGCTTTGCAAATCTTAGCTTAGCTTAGCTTAAACCTCTAATCTAAACTAATCTACTTGACAATGCTTGTCCATATCCCCCTCTCACTGTTTTTCTTCACAACCTCCGAAACCAAAACCAATACCTCAGCTGGCCACGCCATCCCCTTTTCCACCCACCAGCATTTCAACGTTAAAGAATCCGTTTCTCAGGCCATCAAACTCCATCCCCTGCCAAAAACCCAGGAGGAATTCATCGATGAAAGCCGCCATAAGGGGAAGGAGGGTAGTTGGAAGCTCAAGCTCCTGCACAGAGATAAATTGCCCTTTTCCCATATTACCGACTTCAGCCGCCAATTCGGATCCCGAATGAAAAGGGACGCACACAGAGTGGCCGCCCTCATTCGCAGAACTCGCAGCGGCGACAGTGGGAAAACCGCCGAGTATGAGGTGGAGGAGTTCGGGGCGGAGGTGGTTTCCTGTATGGATCAAGGGAGTGGAGAATACTTTGTGAGGATTGGAGTCGGGAGTCCGGCGAAAAATCAGTAAATGGTGATTGACTATGGGAGTGATATTGTGTGGGTTCAGTGTCAACCTTGTAACTAATGCTACCATCAATATGACCCGGTGTTCGACCCATCTCTCTCAATAGTTTAACAAATATTGGGGCCAAAACCCACAAAACCATTTGAGCCGTCAATGGAAATCTGGAGGCCTTCTTGCTCGATGTTCCCTATGATGGATAGTCCGGTTGGGGATGGAGCAAATGCAAAGCGAAACGTGCCCCTTTCATCAACTTGTATAAAAATGTTCGTAGCTGGAATGGTCAGGATTGGACCACCCATCAGGAGAAATGATACGGTTGGCCAGAACTGTAACAAACCGGTTTAAGTCCTAGCATGTGTCCAATATTGAGATGCTGGGTGCCCGAGGAAGGCTGGCAGTTTGCGTCATAAATGCCTCGTGCAACGCCGCGTATGCCACCATCTGAGACACACAAGTAGTAGAATTAAGACAAACCCCCAAGATACAAAATTCAAAAGACAAAAGCTCAAACCCAATCTGAAATTACAGAAGCCCAGAAACAATTAAAAGGAAGATCTCTTCAAATAACATAAACACAATCAAGTCACAGTCCAGATCAGCATAGAATATAAGTGTATGTGTACTGTAAGAGATCAGTACCACTTCATCACGTCCATAGGACTACTACTCCTAACCTAAGGTGTTAAGGTTCAAAATTAGTTAATCAATTACACAACTAACCGAAGAATACAAAAACTACTTCTCAAGTTCTATTATTTATGTTTTAAAAAAAAAATCTAATATTTATAGATATAAAGGCTCCGATTCTATACCTCGAGTGGCGTACACAGCATTGGGCGACGCATTTATGACACAAACCGCCAACCTTCCTCGGGCACCCAGCGTCTCAATATTAGACACATGCTACGATTTAAACGGGTTCATTACGGTTTTTGGTACCAACCGTATCATTTTTCCTAATGGGTGGCCTGATCCTGACCATTCCAGCTAGGAACGTTTTAATACCAGTTGATGAATGGGGCACATTTTGCTTTGCATTTGCTCTATCCCCAACCAGACTATCCATCTTAGGGAACATCCAGCAAGAAGGCATCTAGATTTCTATTGACAGCTCAAATGGTTCGTGGGTTTTGGCCACAATATTTGTTAACATATTGAGAAAGACGTGTCGAACACCGGGTCATATTGATGTTTGCATTGGTTACAGGGTTGACACTGAACCCACACAATATCACTCCCTGAGTCAATCACCATATATTGATTTTTTGCCGGACTCCCGACCCCAATCCTCACTAAGTATTCTCCACTCCCTTGATCCATACCGGAAACCACATCCGACCCGAACTCCTCCACCTCATACTCGGCGGCTTTCCCACTGCCGCCGCCGCGAGTTCTGCGAATGAGGGCGGCGACTCTGTGTGCGTCCCTTTTCATCCGGGATCCGAATCGGCGGCGGAAGTCGGTAAAATGGGGAAAGGGCAATTTATCTCTATGCAGGAGCTTGAGCTTCCAACTACCCTCCTCCCCTTTATGGCGGCTTTCATCGATGAATTCCTCCTGGGTTTTTGGCCGGGGATGGAGTTTGATTGCCTGAGAAACCGATTCTTTAACGTTGAAATGCTGGTGGGGGGAAAGGGGATGGCATGGCTGGCTGAGGTATTGGTTTCGGTTACGGAGATTTTAAAGAAAAACAATTAGGAGGATATGGACAAGCATTGTCAAGTAGATTAGTTTAGATTAGAGGTTTAAGCTAAGCTAAGCTAAGCTAAGATTTGCAAAGCAAATCAAAGGTGTGATAGATAGATGGTGTGAAGAAGAATTGAAGAAGAAGAAGAAAATGTGGAGGTTCATTTATAGTGTTTTTTACTAACGTTTAGAAAAAAATCACAAATATTCCCTTTCAAAAAAAAAAAAATCACAAATATTCCCCATCAAAAAAAAAATGACAAATATAAAACATAAAGACTATTGTGCCGTTAAGATTTCACGGTTGAGACGGAGAAACTTAACGAAAGGACTAGCGGAGGTCATTTTTGAAATTCGGAGGATGACGGATGCTCAAAACAAAAGTTTAGGACTATTAATGGCGAAACCACTAAACTCGAGGACCCTTGACTAGTATTTACTCTTTATTAAATATAAAAATTTCAATTAAAAAATATATCTCAAAAAGAATTGTTAGTTTCGTGAAGCAATTCATAACTTTGGCAATGAAGGTAATGATAATTTGTTACACTATTCATTGTAACTATGGAGCTTAATTAGAAAGAATTAATTATATTTCTAGAATTAATATGATAATTAGGATGGTACAACTTAATTAGAGGGAGAGTTAATATTGTGCCTAAATTAATATAGGGAAATTATGTAAATCACAATATATCATTACCTTGTATAGTTAGTATAAATTTTAGTAGGTTAATTATTATAGATATTAGTAGATTAGTATAAATAGACCATTGTATATGAAGATGGAGGAGAGAAATATATTGTTATTCTAGTCTTTTATGTTAAAGAATTTTTCATTCTCTTTCATTATATTGTTTTACTTTTGGAGTTACCGTAACTCGAATACGGATTGGAGCCAGAAGCCTGCTCGAAAGGTTTCTTCCGTTGCGTACTAAATTTCAGTACGTAACATTGGTGCTCTCGTTGAGAGGATTTGTGGATGCATCACGTAACAATTGGTGCTTTCATTGATTACAGTGGTGAGAGTATCACTATCTTTTTATTTTTGTTATTATTGTTATTTTGTTTGTTAGCCGTATAGGCATTCCTTAGAATTTATTTTTACAAAAATAGTGAAAAAAAAGTCCAAAAAAAAAGAGAAAAAAAAGCCAAAAAAAAAGTCCAAAAAAGAGAGGAAAAAAGGAGTGGAAATATACGAAAAATTTTTTTTTTTTTTTTTTATGGAAAATATTACTCGCCGGTGCTTATTGGTTTCTGTACACCAAGTTTGGTATCCGATCGATGATTTTGTATTGTATGAGATCTTTTCTACGAAATGATCCGTACAATATATTCATATTTTAAAGGATGAGGGTCACACCTTATTCCAAGCTTTGGTATGTTTGATTCCATTGTGGATTCAATTGTTGCCAAACATGCATTCCATGGCCACAACATTTATGAAGGATATTGCACTATGAATATAGAATTTCCTGATGCAAATTTAATAATGGCTACTTGTGTGGAAGTAGATCATCATCAAACTCCCACTCATCAGGTGGAAATTGATGCGGAAGTAATGATCGAAAAAGAGTTTGGTGATAATGTGGTCGATATGAGTTCTAGTATAATTGTTGGTGAGGACTATACTAATCAATTCAATGAGAAAGAAATTAAAAAAATTTACTCATGAGGAGGTAGATCATGCATCAAATAGCATGGATTCAACTCAAATTGAAGCTCCAATTCAAGCTAAAGCAACAACTACAATAGGGTATATCAAATCTCCCCAATTGTTTCAAGAATCAATTTTCACATCAATAGTGTCTTTGGAGGAAAGCCTCATCCACTTTGCAGTAGAAATGATTCCCAGATTGGTTCAAATCATGACACCAATAAGGAATTCTGTTACAAGGCAATCCAGTGAACATGTAGTCTATGATGTCCACGTTTGGCAAATCAATCAAACAGTATCATCAAAGCATGGATATGCTCATTTCCATACATACACCTTGAGGACAAGGTGTTTTTTGAAGGGGTGGAGAGTGTTACACTATTCATTGTAACTATGGAGCTTAATTAGAAAGAATTAATTATATTTCTAGAATTAATATGATAATTAGGATGGTACAACTTAATTAGAGGGAGAGTTAATATTGTGCCTAAATTAGTATAGGGAAATTATGTAAATCACAATATATCATTACCTTGTATAGTTAGTATAATTTTAGTAGGTTAATTATTGTAGGTATTAGTAAATTAGTATAAATAGACCATTGTATATGAAGATTGGAAGGAGAGTAATATATTGTTATTCCAGTCTTTTATATTGAAGAATTATTCATTCTCTTTCATTATATTGTTTTACTTTTGAAGTTACCGTAACTCGAATACGGATTGGAGCTAGAAGCCTACTCGAAAGGTTTCTTCCGTTGTGTACTAAATTTCAGTACGTAACATTGGTGCTTTCATTGAGAGTTGAACTCAAGGTGCTTTCATTTCCTTACCTACACCTTGAGGACAAGGTGTTTTTTGAAGGGGTGGAGAGTGATACGCCCTTAATTGTAATTATGGGGCTTAATTAGGAAGAATTAATTATATTTCTAGAATTAGGATGATAATTAGGATGGTACAACTTAATTAGTGGAAGAGTTAATATTGTGCCTAAATTAATATAGGGAAATTATTAAATCACAATATATCATTACCTTGTATAGTTAGTATAATTTTAGTAGGTTAATTATTATAGATATTAGTAGATTAGTATAAATAGACCATTGTATATGAAGATGGAGGAGAGAAATATATTGTTATTCTAGTCTTTTATGTTAAAGAATTCTTCATTCTCTTTCATTATATTGTTTTACTTTTGGAGTTACCATAACTCGAATACGGATTGGAGCCAGAAGCCTGCTCGAAAGCTTTCTTCCGTTGCGTACTAAATTTCAGTACGTAACATAATTTTTCTCCATAAGGTTTGCTTATTGTGTGCCACACATGACTACTTCATAGCCTATTCTTCTTTCTAAATTTAAAATCCACGGGAAATAGTCAACTAGACACTTCAACTTTATATTAGAAGACAATTATGTCTCTAAATTTTAAAAGATCACTATTAAATACTTGCTGAACTCGTCATGTTAGTGCATCTGAGTCTAACAACGGATATTCAACTAGAACAACTGTTTATTAGGGTTTCGGTGATGAAACTGTTAGGAACCAGTGTATTTAGATTTTGATGATACCAATATTACTAGGATCGTAGACACCTCTTTTATTTTCGCTATATTTGATCTTTCGTGTTAGACGAAAGATTTAGCAACTCACCATGTGATTCGGCTAAGTAGCATACATACACGAATCTGAGTTGTGACCCATTAGTTTAGGTCAACGAAAAGAAGTGAAGAACAAGAGAAGACCGAGATAATAACACAGACCGAAAGATAGAAGGGTCTAGCTCTCGCGTAAACTTCGAATGATAAGGAAATTGTTTTTTGATCAGCAACAACAACGAAAAGATAAAGGAAATCTTTTGTGTAACTTCCTCAAGACCATTAAGTCTAAGTTAGACTTGAATAGACACATTAAATGCACAAAACAAATAGAATGTTGTCTATGTCTCACAGTTGGGCAATTATCCTAGATAAAAGAAGTCCTTGGTATTAATAAAATACTTGTTAAATAAATATATATCATTATTTTATATTATAACTTTGTTATTTAATTAAAAAAAAATATTGTACAAAAAAATATAATAGACAATGTAGTGAATACAATCAATTGATGAATTTGAATTTAAAGAATTTTTACATTGGATACAAATAAAGACAATATAATTAATACAATTATTTCTCTTAATTAATTTATTGATAATGAATAATTATTTTTTAACAAAGACATTGAAGGGACAATGTAGCGAATATAATTAATTGATGAATTTGAATGTAAAGAATTTTTATATTGGAGAAAAATAAAGACAATATAACTAATGAAATTAATTCTCTTATTTAATTTATTGATAATGAATAATTTTTTTTTGAATAAAGACATTGTAGACACATAATTCTAAATTAAAGAAATGCATATGTATTATTTTGACTTAAAAAGTAGAGTTAATTCCATTCTTTGTCATTCTTACAAAAGGCTGAACCCCAACCCTAAGGGCCCCCCACACCTCGGCCCGACAGAGCATTTGGGAAAATGTAAATCATGGTGACTCAACTGAACATGAACCACAGAGGCTAGACCGGTGCTCACTGCGCACAAGGAGATCCCTTACTTTGAAAGGTAATTCCATTGTTTAGTCCACTTTTAGTCATTTTTTTATTAAAACATCCCCATTTAGTCCTAGTATTATTGTGTCATGACCATTTTTCATTATCGTTTAACAAAATCGTTGAAATTAAATGTTGTTAAATATAAAGACATTTCAATATTCAGTATACAACGTAGGTTGAACCGTTATATATATATTTTTTTTTGTTTATTTTGTTGAAAAAAAATTCTATAATTGAAGATCGAAATGCCTTTGTATTTCACAATATTTAAACTGTTTTGTCGATAAAGGACAAAAATAATTATGCCACAATAATACTAGGACCAAAAGTGGATGTTCTAATAAAAAATAAAAAATAAAAAAAAAAACTTAAAGTGGATTGTCACTATAAATCTAGGGCCAACAATGAAATTAACCCTTATTTATTTTTTTTTCTTCACTTTATTACTGGTATTTTCTTAGCTTCCTTTAATCGTTTTATAAACATTTAGCTATAGAATTATTTTATTTCATTAAGAATTATTGACATGAATTTACACTGAAGCAATGAAGAAAAGTAATATATATTACATACAAGAAATGATTATTAGTTCAAAACGTATTTGTTTTGTGTTTTGAGGGTAGCTAATAATAAATTTTTAAATTTACGATTCATTATATAATTGTTAATTTTAACATAAACTTGAGGTGAGAAACTAAAATAACCACTGAATAAACAATTCAGAAACTAATTGAGGACATATGTATAATTAGGGGTTAAGTTTACCATTATATAGCATAATTGAGAGACTAAAATTGTCAATTGCTCAATTATGTATATGTAACTTTATCTCTATTCAAATACATGTACATCGTAATGAACAAAAATCCATAAAATTGTACAAAATAAGTGTTTAGTACAAACGAAGAAATTTCGAACAAAAGGGTCGGAACTCGCTAATAGGAAAGAAGAGAAAAACAATATAGAATATAAGATTTTGGAAAAATACCACACTTATATCATTCCCCCCCCCCCCCCCCTCCTAATTATTTTTGTAAGCACATTAGCCCGTCAATTAATCAATAAGTGGCGGTTTCCCCCCTCCTGATATATTAAATTGACATTTCAACCCTTAAAGAACATATTTAATTATTTTTCTTCTCCAACAAATTATTGCATATACGTAGGAATGACCACAATCAGTAGGAATGACCACGATCGATTCGAACTAACCGGACACTATTGCCATAGAATTAAAAGTTTCCGATTATGATTCAGATCTAGAACCCAATATTTGGATTTCAGTTTATTAAAATTATAAATAAAAAAAACTAGATCCTGAACCGTGAACCGACAGTTCCGGATTCGATTTGCGATTTTGAACCGTCAATATTTTAAAATTTTAGATTTTATATTTTAAAATAGCCTAAATTCAACAATAAATGTATTTTATTTTTTTTCAGTTCGAAACATGAATCGACCGTTCCGGTTCGCGATTATAATAATCTCTAAATATCGGGTTTCGATTCTAAATTATAATTGGAATATTTTGGTTTGGTTGCTACAGTGTCTATTTGGTTTGAACCAAATTGTGGATTGGATAAGAAAAATAAATGAAATATTTATTTTAAGGGTAAATATGTCGATTTAACATTTCAGATGGAAAAACAGCCACTTGAATAATTCAGGGGGAAAAGTGCTATAAGTATATATAACTCAGGAGAAAAAGTGCCAATTTTCCTAAGATTTTAATAGACTCTATAAAATAGTTTATATGTGATTAAGATTATCAATCTGTATTTTGGTGAGGTCGAATTGAAGAGTTATTCTAAGTAATACAAGTTTGGTGTTTTGAAATGATGAGAAGAGGGAGTCACCACAACTTTGTCGACATGTGAAACAATCATTAGGGGTTCTGATCTACCTTTAATTTGGTGTTTACAACCTAAGTTGGAATTCATACATGAAATATATATAATGGCTTTTAGAAAGGTGTTTTTGCTTTCCTTCTTTTGAAACATTATATTGTTGTACATTGTGCTTATCATCTCATTTTAATTACGAACAAATAAGAATCTTTTTTTTCACATTGCAGATAACATATACTGTTCTAAAATTACCCCCTTCTTTTTAGTGTATATATTACAATTTGCATGCAGTGTATGTGAAAAGCAAATTTCATATATGCAACATCGTTACAATACTCTCCCGTTAAGTAGTACACTAGGGGTAGGCGTTTTGAGATTTGATTCGATTTTTTTCGGTTTCAGTATTTCAATTTTAAAAAAATGATATCATTCAGTTTAACATTAATTCGGTTCGGTTTTAAGAACCCCAATTTTTTAACATTTCTTATTTTTCCAAACATAGTACCAAACAATACATATTCACATAGTTAAAATCCAAACTCTAAACATTATATAACAAAATAGCAATCAAAAGTTTAAACACACTGCACGGTATAATTTGCCGTTCATAACTAACCAAATCTAATTAATTAAGAAGACCAATAAGATGCTCATATTGATAATCAAATTAAATTGAAACCTTATAATTATTAAACTAACAGTAGGATTAATTTAATTGTGGTGATTGCCCCGTAAAACAAGAGGCTAACAACCTCACGGCTCTCTTTTCTCTCTTTGCTGACTTTGGGAGTTTGGGACCAAAACATCGCTGTCATTAAATGGAATCATTATCTTAAGAGCCACAAAATTTTAATCTTTCATTATCCATCGTTAATTGCATTATATTCCTTTCTAGGTAAAGGATACAAAACAACTTTTAACATTGCTTGCTGTTGCTTTTTGCTGCAAACAGCACAACATATCGGATTGCTATGGAATAACTTTGAAATTTAGGACAAAAACCTCAAAATCAAAGATAGCTATGGAATACAAAAACTCTACAAAAGTCATTTAAAATCCATCACTTTAAAAGTATTTAAAAGTCTTGACTGAATACACCCCCATTAGTTGAATAAAGACATTGTAGATACATAATTCTAAATTAAAGAAATGCATATGTATTATTTTGACTTAAAAAGTAGAGTTAATTCCATTCTTTGTCATTCTTCCACAAGGCTGAACCCCAACCCTAAGGGCCCCCCACACCCCGGCCCGACAGAGCATTTGGGAAAATGTAAATCATGGTGACTCAACTGAACATGAACCACAGAGGCTAGACCGGTGCTCACTGCGCACAAGGAGCCCCCCTTACTTTGAAAGGTAATTCCATTGTTTGTCATAGATTTATAGGTTGCAGTCCACTTTTAGTCATTTTTTTTATTAAAACATCCCCATTTAGTCCTAGTATTATTGTGTCATGACCATTTTTCGTTATCGTTTAACAAAATCGTTGAAATTAAATGTTGTTAAATATAAAGACATTTCAATCTTCATTATACAACGTAGGTTGAACCGTTATATATGTATTTTTTGTTTATTTTGTTGAAAAAAAATTCTATAATTGAAGATCGAAATGCCTTTGTATTTCACAATATTTAAACTGTTTTGTCGATAAAGGACAAAAAATGATTATGCCACAATAATACAAGGACCAAAAGTGGATGTTCTAATAAATAAATAAAAAAAAAAACTTAAAGTGGATTGTCACCTATAAATCTAGGGCCAAAAAACTTAAAGTTGTACGTTAGTATCTAACGGTGTCCAAACCACTTGATTATCATCCTTTACAAGGATTCAAGCCACGGTAAATGAAATTGGCTTAATTTACGTATATCAATCTTTAAAAAAAAAAATGGATGTATATCAACATAATTTTTAGACACGTTAATTTTATTGAATTTATTTTTAAAAAATATTTTAAGAAATTATTCGTATTATGTATGGTATATAACCGAGTGCATATTATACCGCGATTTGAATTGTAAAACTAAACCTCAAATGAACCTTACAAATTCGAAGTAATTGAAATCATAAAAATTAACCCAAATACAAATTTGAAGACATTGAAATCACTAAAATTAAACAAATTACAAATCTGAAAACACGAAAATCATTAAAAATTAAGACATTACAACTAACCGATTCCATTGAAAGCAAATACATTTATTCATTACCATCTATCACACCTTTGATTTGCTTTGCAAATCTTAGCTTAGCTTAGCTTAAACCTCTAATCTAAACTAATCTACTTGACAATGCTTGTCCATATCCCCCTCTCACTGTTTTTCTTCACAACCTCCGAAACCAAAACCAATACCTCAGCTGGCCACGCCATCCCCTTTTCCACCCACCAGCATTTCAACGTTAAAGAATCCGTTTCTCAGGCCATCAAACTCCATCCCCTGCCAAAAACCCAGGAGGAATTCATCGATGAAAGCCGCCATAAGGGGAAGGAGGGTAGTTGGAAGCTCAAGCTCCTGCACAGAGATAAATTGCCCTTTTCCCATATTACCGACTTCAGCCGCCAATTCGGATCCCGAATGAAAAGGGACGCACACAGAGTGGCCGCCCTCATTCGCAGAACTCGCAGCGGCGACAGTGGGAAAACCGCCGAGTATGAGGTGGAGGAGTTCGGGGCGGAGGTGGTTTCCTGTATGGATCAAGGGAGTGGAGAATACTTTGTGAGGATTGGAGTCGGGAGTCCGGCGAAAAATCAGTAAATGGTGATTGACTATGGGAGTGATATTGTGTGGGTTCAGTGTCAACCTTGTAACTAATGCTACCATCAATATGACCCGGTGTTCGACCCATCTCTCTCAATAGTTTAACAAATATTGGGGCCAAAACCCACAAAACCATTTGAGCCGTCAATGGAAATCTGGAGGCCTTCTTGCTCGATGTTCCCTATGATGGATAGTCCGGTTGGGGATGGAGCAAATGCAAAGCGAAACGTGCCCCTTTCATCAACTTGTATAAAAATGTTCGTAGCTGGAATGGTCAGGATTGGACCACCCATCAGGAGAAATGATACGGTTGGCCAGAACTGTAACAAACCGGTTTAAGTCCTAGCATGTGTCCAATATTGAGATGCTGGGTGCCCGAGGAAGGCTGGCAGTTTGCGTCATAAATGCCTCGTGCAACGCCGCGTATGCCACCATCTGAGACACACAAGTAGTAGAATTAAGACAAACCCCCAAGATACAAAATTCAAAAGACAAAAGCTCAAACCCAATCTGAAATTACAGAAGCCCAGAAACAATTAAAAGGAAGATCTCTTCAAATAACATAAACACAATCAAGTCACAGTCCAGATCAGCATAGAATATAAGTGTATGTGTACTGTAAGAGATCAGTACCACTTCATCACGTCCATAGGACTACTACTCCTAACCTAAGGTGTTAAGGTTCAAAATTAGTTAATCAATTACACAACTAACCGAAGAATACAAAAACTACTTCTCAAGTTCTATTATTTATGTTTTAAAAAAAAAATCTAATATTTATAGATATAAAGGCTCCGATTCTATACCTCGAGTGGCGTACACAGCATTGGGCGACGCATTTATGACACAAACCGCCAACCTTCCTCGGGCACCCAGCGTCTCAATATTAGACACATGCTACGATTTAAACGGGTTCATTACGGTTTTGGTACCAACCGTATCATTTTTCCTAATGGGTGGCCTGATCCTGACCATTCCAGCTAGGAACGTTTTAATACCAGTTGATGAATGGGGCACATTTTGCTTTGCATTTGCTCTATCCCCAACCAGACTATCCATCTTAGGGAACATCCAGCAAGAAGGCATCTAGATTTCTATTGACAGCTCAAATGGTTCGTGGGTTTTGGCCACAATATTTGTTAACATATTGAGAAAGACGTGTCGAACACCGGGTCATATTGATGTTTGCATTGGTTACAGGGTTGACACTGAACCCACACAATATCACTCCCTGAGTCAATCACCATATATTGATTTTTTGCCGGACTCCCGACCCCAATCCTCACTAAGTATTCTCCACTCCCTTGATCCATACCGGAAACCACATCCGACCCGAACTCCTCCACCTCATACTCGGCGGCTTTCCCACTGCCGCCGCCGCGAGTTCTGCGAATGAGGGCGGCGACTCTGTGTGCGTCCCTTTTCATCCGGGATCCGAATCGGCGGCGGAAGTCGGTAAAATGGGGAAAGGGCAATTTATCTCTATGCAGGAGCTTGAGCTTCCAACTACCCTCCTCCCCTTTATGGCGGCTTTCATCGATGAATTCCTCCTGGGTTTTTGGCCGGGGATGGAGTTTGATTGCCTGAGAAACCGATTCTTTAACGTTGAAATGCTGGTGGGGGGAAAGGGGATGGCATGGCTGGCTGAGGTATTGGTTTCGGTTACGGAGATTTTAAAGAAAAACAATTAGGAGGATATGGACAAGCATTGTCAAGTAGATTAGTTTAGATTAGAGGTTTAAGCTAAGCTAAGCTAAGCTAAGATTTGCAAAGCAAATCAAAGGTGTGATAGATAGATGGTGTGAAGAAGAATTGAAGAAGAAGAAGAAAATGTGGAGGTTCATTTATAGTGTTTTTTTACTAACGTTTAGAAAAAAAATCACAAATATTCCCTTTCAAAAAAAAAAAATCACAAATATTCCCCATCAAAAAAAAATGACAAATATAAAAACATAAAGACTATTGTGCCGTTAAGATTTCACGGTTGAGACGGAGAAACTTAACGAAAGGACTAGCGGAGGTCATTTTTGAAATTCGGAGGATGACGGATGCTCAAAACAAAAGTTTAGGACTATTAATGGCGAAACCACTAAACTCGAGGACCCTTGACTAGTATTTACTCTTTATTAAATATAAAAATTTCAATTAAAAAATATATCTCAAAAAGAATTGTTAGTTTCGTGAAGCAATTCATAACTTTGCAATGAAGGTAATGATAATTTGTTACACTATTCATTGTAACTATGGAGCTTAATTAGAAAGAATTAATTATATTTCTAGAATTAATATGATAATTAGGATGGTACAACTTAATTAGAGGGAGAGTTAATATTGTGCCTAAATTAATATAGGGAAATTATGTAAATCACAATATATCATTACCTTGTATAGTTAGTATAATTTTAGTAGGTTAATTATTATAGATATTAGTAGATTAGTATAAATAGACCATTGTATATGAAGATGGAGGAGAGAAATATATTGTTATTCTAGTCTTTTATGTTAAAGAATTTTTCATTCTCTTTCATTATATTGTTTTACTTTTGGAGTTACCGTAACTCGAATACGGATTGGAGCCAGAAGCCTGCTCGAAAGGTTTCTTCCGTTGCGTACTAAATTTCAGTACGTAACATTGGTGCTCTCGTTGAGAGGATTTGTGGATGCATCACGTAACAATTGGTGCTTTCATTGATTACAGTGGTGAGAGTATCACTATCTTTTTATTTTTTGTTATTATTGTTATTTTGTTTGTTAGCCGTATAGGCATTCCTTAGAATTTATTTTTACAAAAATAGTGAAAAAAAAAGTCCAAAAAAAAAGAGAAAAAAAAGCCAAAAAAAAAAAGTCCAAAAAAGAGAGGAAAAAAGGAGTGGAAATATACGAAAAATTTTTTTTTTTTTTTTTTATGGAAAATATTACTCGCCGGTGCTTATTGGTTTCTGTACACCAAGTTTGGTATCCGATCGATGATTTTGTATTGTATGAGATCTTTTCTACGAAATGATCCGTACAATATATTCATATTTTAAAGGATGAGGGTCACACCTTATTCCAAGCTTTGGTATGGTTTGATTCCATTGTGGATTCAATTGTTGCCAAACATGCATTCCATGGCCACAACATTTATGAAGGATATTGCACTATGAATATAGAATTTCCTGATGCAAATTTAATAATGGCTACTTGTGTGGAAGTAGATCATCATCAAACTCCCACTCATCAGGTGGAAATTGATGCGGAAGTAATGATCGAAAAAGAGTTTGGTGATAATGTGGTCGATATGAGTTCTAGTATAATTGTTGGTGAGGACTATACTAATCAATTCAATGAGAAAGAAATTAAAAAATTTACTCATGAGGAGGTAGATCATGCATCAAATAGCATGGATTCAACTCAAATTGAAGCTCCAATTCAAGCTAAAGCAACAACTACAATAGGGTATATCAAATCTCCCCAATTGTTTCAAGAATCAATTTTCACATCAATAGTGTCTTTGGAGGAAAGCCTCATCCACTTTGCAGTAGAAATGATTCCCAGATTGGTTCAAATCATGACACCAATAAGGAATTCTGTTACAAGGCAATCCAGTGAACATGTAGTCTATGATGTCCACGTTTGGCAAATCAATCAAACAGTATCATCAAAGCATGGATATGCTCATTTCCATACATACACCTTGAGGACAAGGTGTTTTTTGAAGGGGTGGAGAGTGTTACACTATTCATTGTAACTATGGAGCTTAATTAGAAAGAATTAATTATATTTCTAGAATTAATATGATAATTAGGATGGTACAACTTAATTAGAGGGAGAGTTAATATTGTGCCTAAATTAGTATAGGGAAATTATGTAAATCACAATATATCATTACCTTGTATAGTTAGTATAATTTTAGTAGGTTAATTATTGTAGGTATTAGTAAATTAGTATAAATAGACCATTGTATATGAAGATTGGAAGGAGAGTAATATATTGTTATTCCAGTCTTTTATATTGAAGAATTATTCATTCTCTTTCATTATATTGTTTTACTTTTGAAGTTACCGTAACTCGAATACGGATTGGAGCTAGAAGCCTACTCGAAAGGTTTCTTCCGTTGTGTACTAAATTTCAGTACGTAACATTGGTGCTTTCATTGAGAGTTGAACTCAAGGTGCTTTCATTTCCTTACCTACACCTTGAGGACAAGGTGTTTTTTGAAGGGGTGGAGAGTGATACGCCCTTAATTGTAATTATGGGGCTTAATTAGGAAGAATTAATTATATTTCTAGAATTAGGATGATAATTAGGATGGTACAACTTAATTAGTGGAAGAGTTAATATTGTGCCTAAATTAATATAGGGAAATTATGTAAATCACAATATATCATTACCTTGTATAGTTAGTATAATTTTAGTAGGTTAATTATTATAGATATTAGTAGATTAGTATAAATAGACCATTGTATATGAAGATGGAGGAGAGAAATATATTGTTATTCTAGTCTTTTATGTTAAAGAATTCTTCATTCTCTTTCATTATATTGTTTTACTTTTGGAGTTACCATAACTCGAATACGGATTGGAGCCAGAAGCCTGCTCGAAAGCTTTCTTCCGTTGCGTACTAAATTTCAGTACGTAACATAATTTTTCTCCATAAGGTTTGCTTATTGTGTGCCACACATGACTACTTCATAGCCTATTCTTCTTTCTAAATTTAAAATCCACGGGAAATAGTCAACTAGACACTTCAACTTTATATTAGAAGACAATTATGTCTCTAAATTTTAAAAGATCACTATTAAATACTTGCTGAACTCGTCATGTTAGTGCATCTGAGTCTAACAACGGATATTCAACTAGAACAACTGTTTATTAGGGTTTCGGTGATGAAACTGTTAGGAACCAGTGTATTTAGATTTTGATGATACCAATATTACTAGGATCGTAGACACCTCTTTTATTTTCGCTATATTTGATCTTTCGTGTTAGACGAAAGATTTAGCAACTCACCATGTGATTCGGCTAAGTAGCATACATACACGAATCTGAGTTGTGACCATTAGTTTAGGTCAACGAAAAGAAGTGAAGAACAAGAGAAGACCGAGATAATAACACAGACCGAAAGATAGAAGGGTCTAGCTCTCGCGTAAACTTCGAATGATAAGGAAATTGTTTTTTGATCAGCAACAACAACGAAAGATAAAGGAAATCTTTTGTGTAACTTCCTCAAGACCATTAAGTCTAAGTTAGACTTGAATAGACACATTAAATGCACAAACAAATAGAATGTTGTCTATGTCTCACAGTTGGGCAATTATCCTAGATAAAAGAAGTCCTTGGTATTAATAAAATACTTGTTAAATAAATATATATCATTATTTTATATTATAACTTTGTTATTTAATTAAAAAAAATATTGTACAAAAAAATATAATAGACAATGTAGTGAATACAATCAATTGATGAATTTGAATTTAAAGAATTTTTACATTGGATACAAATAAAGACAATATAATTAATACAATTATTTCTCTTAATTAATTTATTGATAATGAATAATTATTTTTTAACAAAGACATTGAAGGGACAATGTAGCGAATATAATTAATTGATGAATTTGAATGTAAAGAATTTTTATATTGGAGAAAAATAAAGACAATATAACTAATGAAATTAATTCTCTTATTTAATTTATTGATAATGAATAATTTTTTTTTGAATAAAGACATTGTAGACACATAATTCTAAATTAAAGAAATGCATATGTATTATTTTGA